ATTTTATATTATAAGTCCTTTATAGTCATTTTACACAACCTCTCATATTAAAAAGCACTTTTAATAGTTTTATAGCCAAACACTCAACTGCTTTTTTGAAAAGTACTTATCTAAAAGCTCCAGCCAGAAGCTGCTTCTGCAAAAGCTACAGCAGGGCCAAACTAAGCTAATAATCTGTTTAGATTTAGAGGCAAATAAAAAAGTTGTTATTTTATTTTAATTTATTGTGATAACTTCCCGCGACAGATAATTAATGCGTCTCTAAAGACATTTTTTCCAGCAAATTAATCCGCCTCTGATTGGATTACTATCTTTTGTAAAAATAATATTATAATTACTTTAAATCATAATATTATCTATAGATATTTTTATTTAATAATTCAATACGTGTGTTTTAAAAAAGGAAAGAGATGGTAAAAAAATTCGGCCCATCACCCGTAATCTCAGGGTGGAAACCCATTATATGTGTTTGTTTTTTCTTCGTAGGGCTCCTCCTGTGTAACCCTAAATTATGAATTCCTGATTCCTTCCTGCAACCAGGTTCTTTAATATTTTTCCATCACGGCGTTGCGACCATTTCCGGCGAGATCAAACCGGCCGATCATCAATATCGACAAGCACTTGTTCAGCGACAGTCACGAAAATCGACGTGAGTAATATAATATGGTACCCTCCCCTCTTTACTTTTCTTGAACATCTTGATGAACTTCCGTCGTAGATTACAGTCGAACTCCATTGCGTCTCTAGCATCCCCTTCCATCATCATGTGATACGACTTCTTTGGTTTTCTCTTTGTAATTTTGCTTTGGGCTTTCCCTTCCAACATCAGGTTTGCATCATGGAGCGATTTCCACTCCTGAAACTGGTTCCTCCCCTTTCAAGAACTAGGAGAAATCGCATCCGACGACATCAAATTAAGAATGGTACTTGAGTTACCAATTTCTAGATATATTGTTTCCCTTTCATTTCCTTTGAAGCTAACCCGCAATCAAAATCAATTTTCTTTTTCAATTTAGCAGGTTAATTACCCTGAATTCACATTAAGAACAATAGACAAAGAAGGGTGGATTGGGACTACATTGACGATGACCATCATGAGCGCTTTATTTTTTAGCAGTTAAAGGAGATTACTTATTAGTACAAAGGTTTCCAGACTGCCCCTACCGAACTTGAAGCAATAACGTGCAAGAAGTTGAAGTCCTGACTAGAGGGCTATTGAATCCAGTTGTTAGTGTAGAGTTGTGATGTTTATATCATTCCCAGTAATTTCTTCGAGGACTCCAATTGTTACGCGGTTGACTGTTAGTATATATATATAATAAAGATTATTTTCATATTTGTCTATTTTTATCTATTTTTTAATATATAGAGCCAAAATTTCCAAATGAAAAATCACCGCACATAGCCATAAATTTATTTAAAGGCTAATATAATAGTTCCCAAAATGAACTACAGAGGCATAAATATTTGTTACTAAATATACATTAGCAGCAAATATTTGTGCTACTAAAATGAAAAAAGAAGACTATAAAATAGTCATTCAAAAGTAAAATTAGCAACAAAACTATTTGTCGTAGATTCTTAAATTAACAGCAGATACTATTTGTCGCTAACATCTGCCTCTAAAGACAATTAGCGGCAGCAGTATTGACAGCACACATTTATGTGCCGCTATAGAGCTATCGAGGCACATAAATCGCTTATAGTAACAAATACACTTAGCCGTTAAAAGTCATTTTTTTTGTAGTGTATGTTATTCTTTCTTTTTGGGTTATAGGTATAATACGCCCTTGTACTTAACATTTTTCTCAAATATTATAAATCACATCATACCTACCCTTATTGTATTAATAATTTATCAAACATGCCCTCCCATCTGTTTTTCCGTCACATTACCGTTAGTCTGGTTCAACCTAATTTTGAGCAACATGTTGTCATGTAAATAAGAGGGTGAAAGACAATTTTACCCTCCTTCGGCTCCAATATCATCGTTCCCAAAAATATCTCAATCATGTACCATCGACTCATTCCAACCAAGCTCCAGCAATCCCTGATCCCTCTCCGGTCATCCAAGCAACCTCGTGTCTCCGACATTGGATTTTGAGCCACCACCCCTCTTCACTGTCATCGAACTGATGGTGGCTTATGCCCCTAACCGGTCATCGAACTGATGGTGGCTTATGCCCCTAACCGGTCATCGATTCCCTCCGGGAAGAGCCCAACTTGGGGTCCCCAAGTCTACTTCGGAGCCGCCACCACATCGCCGTCAATCATCTTCGGAGCCCCTCTCTCAATGCCACTCCTTTCGGCAAATCCATCTCGCTCCAGATCTCTACTCTCTTCGATCCTCCATTCCTAATTCGTAACAACACATGGACATAGAACTCAATTTGGCAACGAAAAAAAAATCCCTAAACGATAAATTGAAATCCCTAATTTTTAATTCTACTTGCAAGCAACCATTTGAAGCTGGTAATGGGCAACACTAATATGTGATTTCAATTTTCGAAAAGAAGAAAGAATGATCAAACAATACTTCACATGTCTAATTATTATAACCACAAGCTAAGATCTCCTTATTTTTTAAATCTGGAAAATAAAGTTTCTGTTTTCTTTCCCCTGAGCGATAGCGACAACAACAATCACAGCACCACTACCTTAATAATTGCAAGGAATGTATCTCCTTCTCCTTCATTTACATTGCTAGCAACCAAATCTCAAGATAACTAGATTGCCAGCAACGGGATGGAAGAGAGAAGCAAATCGGGGTAGTAGTACTGTAAAACTATGAGCAGCGATAAAAAAATTTGGCTGGTGATGATAGAAATAGAGAGAAGATGCCCGGAGATGAGGCTCTGAGGAATTCAATTGTTATCTTCGGAATTAGATCTGGCCTTGATAGGCGGACGATTTAGCAAAACAGAGGATAAATTTGGACCAGGGTTGGAGTCTATCGTTAATGGATGGAATAGGGTACGTGAATGGGGGATTTTTGGGAACGATAATGTTAAAGCTAAAGGAGGATAAAAGTGTCTTTCAACCTCTCATTTCATGAAGTCGTGTTCCCCAAAATCAGGTTGGACCTAACTAACGATTATGAGACGGAAAAACGGATGGAAGGGCATGTTTAAGAAGTACTTAATAGTATAAGGGTAGATTTGATCTGATTTATAGTAGAGGGGCATGTTTGAGAAAAATTCAAAGTATAGGGGCATATTATACAAATAACCCTTTCTTTTTCTATCTTACTCCAATGCAGTTGTAGGAGTCTGCAACGATTTGGTCTGTATATACTGAACCAAACCGATATTTTGATAGAATTATACTGAACCGAATCTAATGTGGTCAGATTTTTTGTCATATAAATTTAAAAAAAATACTAAGAAAATGAACTTAATTAGATACTAAGAAAATCGAATATAATGTTGGAGGTTAGTTGAAGGAATACAAATTAAAGTACGAAAAACTCCATATGTCCTACTTTTTGTGTGGCCAAATGGGACATCCTAAACTTAGATGTCCCAAACATTCACCTATGGTGGAAGATGCTTTAGGAATATAAATAATAATTGCTCCACCTGGACTGAGGAAACATCTCTCAAAAGTAGCCAGATAAGAGGACCGGGAAATATTGGATTACTTGCGTGCAAAGTTTGAGAAGGAAAGAGAAACTGAAAAGCAGAAGGACAAGGAAACAAGAGAGAGGAAGATACTATTCCAAGAAATTTGGTAATGAAGTATGCAACCTGGAGGTACATGGCTGTGATGTCCACTACAAGACCTCCCTTTGTGGAGGCATCAGAGACTAAGTGTGAAAAAACCTCACGATATACTCTGGTTCTCTGTAGTAAGGGCGGAAGAAATCAAAAGAAGAAACTTACCCGAATCTTGAAACTTTTGGGCTTTTGGCCAGAAACAAATGCAATCATGTAAAGGAGCTAGAAAAAAAAAAAAAAAAAGCAGTGCGGCGCCGTATTGGATAGGCGAGACTATTTGGAGAAGAAACGACTTCCATACAACGTGTTCAGTGTTATAGTCTGCACTCTGCAGCTGCTGTCTGCTGTTGGTCCTCTCCATTCTGCTGCACACAGCTTCCACTTCTCGATTGAGATCGATGGAGCTTTCCATCTTCAAAAACTGATCTCACATTGGGGGCCGCCAACTGATCCGCGAACCGGACTGACCTAAAGCAAATACACATCATTCCTAGGTCAAGAGAAGAAAACCCGCGGGAAAGGAGAGGAAAGACTGCAGAGATGGAAATCAGTACCAGGAGCTTCCCGTAACTCTCAGCCGCAACCGCACCATAAACGAAAACCACAAATCAGTGAGCTCCGAGTTCCGCCGATATCCTCCTCAAACCCTAGAATTCCCCTCTCACTCGATCGAAGAAGAAAATGACGGGGAAAAGGAATGCGGAGGAGAAGCCGAAGCCGGTGCCGCAAGAGGAAGTAACTAGGAGAGGAGCCAAGGTTGGCGGTGACAGCGCCATCGCTGACCATTCTGTTCTGTCACCCGTCAGAACAAACAAGGATAGTAAGTGTTTGTTTGGGCTTTCTATTAACTGGAGCTTGTTAACGAGATGCATATATTAATTAGTAGTATTATAGCGGGTTTACCGAGCGTAATTAGTGGGAAATGCGGTTGTTTGTGTGTTGGTTATTTGTTTATATGGTCTGTAATAGTTATCTTCTTTTCTCCCGTTTTTCTCTCCAGACACTTGCTTCTACCGCGCTCTCTGCGACTGTTTGGACGCAAGGGCCAGAATTGCTGGTGGAAAGCCGGGTGGACATCCATTCACCACTCGATTCTCAGCGAAAAGGCTTCGACAAATGGAAGGGAACTGGATTCAGGAAGCTAAAGACACGCGGGCTTCAGCTCTAAAGCATTTCTTGGACAGCCGAGCTCCACTCCCGCTAGCTGATAGCGTGTACCCAGTCCAATTCTTCCTGTCAAAGTATAGGAAGTGTAAAATCGAGAATGATGAAGATCTCAGGTTGTTGAAGCTGTCAATTCAGAACAAAGGCCCTGTCATTGGTGTTATAGAATTGAAGTTGGACTATACCTTTCCTGACACAATTGTTCGAGGCATAGGACGTCCACTCGAGGCTGAAGATGTTGCTCGCCTTGGCCTTCAGCCAGTCCCCGACCCCTATGAAACAGCTTCTGATGAGGAGAAAGGGAATGGGGAAGAGCAGGAGCAAGAGGGAGAGGAAAAGAAAAGGAAACCACACCCAAAGCCGCACCATGATGCCTCAAAAGTTCCGACCAGCCTTCATGCTTTGTGTCTCATGGGGTACAAGAAAATTGATGGCAGGGAGTGCTTCCTTGCCCAAGACAATCAGGGGACAAGCTTCGGCGATGAAGGATTCAAGATAATAGACTTGGAGGCGCTCAAGTATGTTATGACTACGAAACTAGCTTGGGTAAGCACGGTTTGTTAATTTTGCTGTCATATTCATATAAATTTTGGAGGATGATATATACAAATATGTATATCTCTTTTTGCTGCAGGCACCTAAAGAGTAGAATATTGATTAGTTGGTCGCTAAACTGGTACGTGGTTTACTTTGAATGACTCATAACAGCTTCTTGTGAACAATATCCTTCCCTAAACTGAAATACTTCAGCCTTCAGTTTATATCCACATAACAGCTAGTTTAATCAGCAACATTATTGGCTAAGAAACTCACTTCAAGTTTTGCTTCTTTGTCTTTCAAAGCTGCCCAAGTAAATATGATTGCTCTTCCCATGCATAACAGCTAGTTTAATCAGCAACATTATTGGCTAAGAATCTTACTTCAAGTCACATATTGTTCTCATGTTGCTTCTTTGTCAGATACTACAACTTCTTCATCTGCTTTAGACCCACATAACTCATCTTCACATTTAACTACATTAGTCCCCTTCAACTTTACTATATCCATTCTTTTGTGAACTGACTACTAGAGCTGACAAGGTTAGACCAACTGCTACGACTTTTGTTGGACCTTCAATTGCTTCAATCTTATTTTGTTAATATAAATCACATACTTCATCTTGACAACCTTCCCATAACACTTTGGCTGAAACTTTTGAATCCCTTGCATGTTACTCATGTTTCCCATATGATGTTACCACATTTGTTGTGGTGACTTGTGCTTGTGAATCTGTCTCTAGTGCTTCCTGGTTGGGAATGTTTCCATCCATTTCAACTTCTTGCTCGTCTCCTACTTGTTCAATACAAGGCATTAACCTTACATCTTCTGTTATGCAGTTGTATTAGTTCTGATATTGCCTTGTTTCTCCATTTGCAGGGCAGGCACGGATTTAGGTAGAGAAGTGGGGGACTAGGAATTGGTGGGAACAGAGCTACTTGGTGTAGTGTTTTGGGGATGTAGAAACCATAGTATTAACTCTTTGTTATTGAGTTCCCACTTTTACCACATATATACATATGCTAACAAAAGTATGGCGGTGCATATTGGGTTCTGATTAGAAAATTTTGTCGTGGGAAGGATATAGAAAGAGCTGTAACGATTAAGAACACAACAGATGCTACTTACTGCTCATTTGTTTCCCCTGAAATGAAACAAGGGATAGTAAACTTTGATTAGTATGTCCATTTTCTCGTGCTTAAATGTGTTTTTGTGTGGCTGTTGTGTGCTCCCACATCTCAAGATAGAAATTCGCAAGAGAAAAAGATTTGGAGACACGACTGATCAAATCCCTAAAGCAGTGTTATAAAAAAAAAAATCCCAAAAGCAGTAATCTCTCTCGGACAACGAGCCTGCTGTGCCCCGTTATGAGTTAATAACTCATCGTCGAAGTAGAAAGATTTAGATTTTTTATTATATATATCAATATGTACCTCGTTCGTGTATGAGTTAATAACTTAAGCATAGTTGATAACCATTCCAATTATTAACTGCGAAACACAATATCATAATAATTAACTTATAGTAATAATAACAAAACCGCTACTACTGGACGAAGAGATGACAATAGATATGGGTCGGTCTGATTCGAATCCTACTCATCTCATCACGGGAAAATTGTATTGTACGCAGGACGTCTTCTTTCGAGGAAGAGGCTTCAGAACTACTCGTGCAAAAATCGAAACGTCAAACTACCTAGACTGCACAAGAAGCTATGGAATGCTACAACGACAACCACCATGTTGGTTCATGGTTCCCTTCCTTGCTGTGGAATTGAAATGCATCTGTTTGGACTAATTTATCAATGGTATGCTGGATTACTGGTGGCGATGGATGGATCGGTATTCTGTGGTAATGAGGTTCCAAGATAATCCGAGAGTGTTAAGGAAATGGAATTGCTGTGTGATCGTGTCGGGTATGTAGTGATAGGATCTAGGCCCGTTATGTATTGCAGCGAAGATGGGCTGGGCTTTATTTCAATATTTTCTATTTAGTCTACAGAAAAGGGAAATGGGCCTTTCCAAAATTTGCGAAAGCGCTATGAACTAGCTAGACCGGCATGTATAAAAAGAAGAAGAAGAAGAAGAATTCGGAAATCCCCAAAACGAGAAATCCCGAAAACCGGAAATGGTTGAGCTAGAGCAGACCGCAGGAGTTGATCCGGTGGTGGTGCCTGACTCGGACTCGGACTCGGACTCGAGCTCCGACTTGGAACCACGTTCCGGTGAAGAGTGAGTATATGCGTCAATAATGTTACAGGCTTCATATAATACCTGCTTGTAAATATATAACAAATAATTAGGGTTTCCATGATGATTCTTATTATGCTTAACTGAACCTTAGACCGTAGGGTTTCCCACATGGAGGATCTGGTCAGCCGTACCTTCATGGATGGCAGTAGAGAGAAGTTGCTGTGGTAGGAAAAGTCGCTCTCGCTTTTCTGTGTCCCTTCCTTTGTTCTGCGATTCCCCTGAATCGGTGGTCTTCAGGATCGGCGAGTATCTGTTTCTGTTGAAAACACAAAAGGTATGGCCGGATACAATTCAGCTTCCCTCGCTCCTCATTCAAATGAATTTTGATTGATTAAGCTCTCAGTCGAAGGATGGTTAATTGAGAATGCGCTGCCCAGTTTTATCTGTTTGTAAACTGTTTTGAGTAGTTGGGTGGTGGTTCTAGAAATTGAACACTGGTGCTGTTTTGTTGGTTTTGGGGTTTTCACGATATGGAGATTGCTGTGAGCTAAGCCCCACAATCAGCAACACCGAACCCAACCTGTTCCCGGTGGCGCTCGTGCACGTGGTCATGTACTGGTACTACTTCTGCACCGCCTTGGGGTCCCGCCCCCGGTGGAAGAGGGTGGTGACGGATTTCCAGATCGTGCAGTTCGTATTCAGCTTCTGTATCTCCGGGCTGATGCTGTACTACCATTTCGCCGGAGGCGGGTGCTCCGGTATGTGGGGGTGGTGCTTCAATGCCGTTTTCAATGCTTCGCTTCTGGCGCTTTTTGTTGATTTCCACGGGAAGAGCTACGCTGCTGCCGCGAAGAAGAGGAAGGCCTCCGCGGCGGAGAAGATTGGTTCCGGAGGCGGCGGGTGGCGATAAAGCTGGAAACACTTGCCTCCGGCGACTTTGTTGGTCCGGCGGTCGCTGCAATCAATTTTCCTCAGGCGAGAAATAAAGAACCAATTAATGGCCCCATTGGTCAGTTTCGCCCTATTTGGTTTTAAAACATCAGTTATGTTATTTGATGTTATTGGGTCTTTAATGATCCGTTACAAGTGATTAATGAGTCACTAAAGCGATCCTTTTATGGCGCTCTACGACCTTTATGGTTGGTTTATATCTCAAATTATGGGATAGAAAGAATTAATTTATGACTTTCAGAATTAATTTATGGCTTTCAAAGTATCAGTGGCGCAAACTTCTTCCTCATTGGAAAAGCTTCATCCGTTGGAATTTTATGAGCATTTACTCATCGGATTGAAAGACGCCCATTATTTCGGGCTGTGGTTAAAAACGTCATTAATTAATAATTAATTCCGATTCCTTTTGTGTTTAAAATTAACTTAATGAGCCATTAGCTCAATTTATTAGAATTGATGACATTTTCTTCAATTTATTTTAATTAATTAATAATTAATTTCGATTCCTTTTGTGTTTACAATTAACTTAATGAGCCATTAGCTCAATTTATTAGAATTGATGACATTTTCTTCAATTCATTTTAATTTGAGGCCCATCGGCAGTAGAATGTGAATTCATTTTAATTTGAGGCCCATCGGCAGTAGAATGTGAATTCTAAAACTCAATTTTGGTTTCTTGCCAAATGGTATGACCAATTTTTTTGTTAGAAAATTAATTAGGGTTAATAAATCACGACAAAGTTGAAGAGTGGGTGATTAGCGGATATGGCTTTCCACTAAGAATGGTTTGTATTGTTTTAAATTGTATTTGTATTATGTTAAACAACATTGCAAACTATGGTGGCTCTTCAATTTCATGAAGTAAATTGCTTTATCAAATATCTAGATTGTTGGGAATATCAAGAGATTATTGAACATTTGTTCTTTCATTGCCCCCTTGTCATCATGCTATGGACTTTTAGTGGGATTAAGTGATTTGCTTGCTTCCGCCCAAACTTCGAACTTTAGTATATGGTGGCGACAATGTTATGTTTTTAGTAAACTTCCAAACCCACATTCTCCCATGCGTTTGCCTTTTTTGGAGAATCTGGAAATCTCTTAACAAAGTGGTTTTTGATTATACTCAGCCACACGCCCGTTCTCTTGCCCGTCAATTCCATTTCCAAGTCATTGAATTTTCCTTAGCCTTTCAGCCCCCAGGACCTCTCTCTCAGGCTTGTGCCCTCTCCTCCTTCCGTTCTGCATCACCCGCCTCCAGACTTTGTGAAGATCAACTTTGATGCTGCTGTTTGTCGTTCCGGTTGCTCATCTGGCCTCGTCATACATGGGACAGACGGGCAAGTTCTACTGGCCTGGGATCTTAGCACCAAGGAGTTTTCGATCCCTATCTAGCAAAGCACCTTGCTGCTAGGTGATCCTGAAGTGGTGATTCGGCATCTGGACCGTAGAACAGTGGAAGATTCGATAGGCGGCTCACTACTCCAAGAGTGTCATCGGCTCCTAGTTTCATGCTCTCTTTTTATAGTTTTTAGTGTGGTTCTGCGGACTGCCAACTGAGCTGCCCATAGAGTGGCACCTAAAGCTCTGTTGCTGTCCTCTTTAGAGGTAGCGTACTTTGTTTTTGTAGGGTGGCTTCACTAAGTGTTGCTTTGGGTGGGGTTTTGGGTAGAGGTTTCTAACTTTTTTTCTCTTGTCATTACTTGGAAAAAAAAAAAAACTGAACCTTAATCGTTTCAATCAATCTGTCTCTGTACATGTGTCCAATTCGGCTGATAGTATGTATAGTCTAGTATTGTACGCATCGGATTATTCTATTAAGTATCATGTTTTTAACTATATTGATTATATGTATTTTACGGAGGTCGAATTTTTCTTCCGAGGACGAGGATCCAGTCATATTTGCGAAACAACCACTTTCCTCGGTTGCGGAAGAAGCCCTGAAACACTACGACCACAACTAGGATGGAAATTGGTACGGTATTGGTATTCCAATACCAAAATCGAAATTCTGAATACCGAATTACACTCTGAAATCAATCTCAATCCCAATCCCTAAATATTTCGGTATCCCAATCGGTACCTCGGTATCCCAATCGGTATTATCAAATACAAAATTAATTACCTTTGCCATTAATAATTAAATATATAAATTAGATTTTATTGTTTAATTAAGGGCAAAGAGACTAAGCAAAGAGTCTTGAGTTGCCTAGAGCTAACACCTCAAGTTTTTGTAATTGGTAATCTTTAATTTGATGAATTTGAGGTTGAGAGACGAATAATACTAGTGTGAAATAGTGATGTAATGATCTATGTATAATTAAATGACACTCTTGGTGGTTAAGGGTTGCGTAGTAGTGAATGAGAGAGTCTAGTTGAGAGAATAAAATACATATAACGATTCCAATCTCGTAATCCCCTATACCGAATAACAATTGAAACTAAATCCCAATCCCAAATCCCACAAAATAATACATTTATTCGGTAATATCAAATAAAAATAAATTCAGCACGGTATTCGATATATCCCAAATACCGGTACCAGACTTCCAACCCTAACCACAACCACCAGGTTGGTTTTAATTATTTTCTCTACTTTTCTCATATTTGCGTTGAGTTTCATGCGTTGACTGGCTAATTTATTGTTTTTCTTTTTGCTCTGGCTGGATGGATGATCAGGGTTTAGAATACGTGCCTGTGGATTTCATACTCATCAATGATGTTGTTATTCCTTCTGGAATGTTATAAAAGTGAACACCAGACAAGGTCCGAGAATGTCACAATATTTGCAGCACTGGAAATTTGCTGTTTGCACCACATTTTCGAGAATGTTATTTCATTCAAAACAGTAGTCCTCCTAAGTACCATTTTCCCCCAATGGGGCGACACCAAATTCCAGCCCAAAATATTGTTATTTAGCTCACAGCTCTGCTTCCGTTTTACCTTTTACTAATATGTGGTTAGTTTCACAATTGTAGCCCATCTTCTTTTATGGAAGAGAAAATATTAATACGTATATGTAAAGTCTGTGTTTTGTTGGCCTGTAAAGTCATAATCCCATCATCCCAACCGGCAACAATGCTTATCTGCCCCTATACAAAACAAAACAAACTACAAGTGGCATTATATATAATGTATATGGCTAAATTACAAGTTTGGTCACTAGAATTGCTAACAAATTTCACGTTTGATCACTCGAATTGATTTATTCCATTTGTAGTCACTTAAATTAGTTGAACAGTCCAAGTTCGGTCGCTCTCCGTTAACCTTCACCAGACTCCGTTAGTGCCGTCAGTTAACTACTGACGTGGCTAACAGAGATGCTGAGTTGGCCAATTTTAAGCAAAAAAAAAAAAAAAAAACCCTTCTGCCACATCAGATAAGCAAACCCAGATCAACCCCAACCCTTGACCGAACTAAAAAAACCCCACCGCGAGGTTAGCGCCAGTACCAGTCCCCCTTTCAATTGTGATTTTGCTTCTTCTTCAATTCCAGTTTTTTGCATTCTTCCAATCAATTTGTTACCAAATACCAACCCATATCACTCCTCGTTCGTTGCAGTATAGCCTTCCATTCTTCCTGTATATTTCCTGATCCGTCTCCCTATCTCTTCCCTTCTCCTGTCTCTCTCCGATCGACTCTAGCCCATTGATTCCAGCTCTGATTCCCGGATACGCCTCAGAGATGGAGGTTGTTCGATTCCAGCGGATTTGCCGACGAAGAACGCACGGGAAGTAGAAGATCTCGAGGCAGCTTGTTGCTGCATGCAGCAAAAAGATCCAGATCTAGATACCTCCTACGTCGCCATCCCCGATGGTGAGGAACTGAGGGTGACTCTGACGACCTCACCTCAAAAATGCGGTTGTCCTGGATTTGGATGAAGGAATTGAGTCCTGGAAGTGCTCGAACGGATCACCAAAAGATCGTCTCGAGACGGCTGTTTCTGGCGTTGGAGAAGACCAATCTGAATGCTAGTCGGATTAGGATTTGCACACTGTTTTGATTTTAATTCCTTTTCGAGTTAGATCTTGTTTTCTTTTTTGAGTTGGATCGTGATTAGGACTTTCTTTACTTGGTTTGTAAGTTAGATAGTCTATTTAAACCTAAGAATTATGTAATAGTTAGTTTTTTGGATCATTCGAATACAAAATTGAATAGGATTGCTTTGATTCATCTAGCTAGTTTGCTTGAATTGAATAGGATTGCTTGGTGGATTCTGAGCAATCATGAGCTTGTATCGATCAATTCATCACCCTGATCATGGCCAAGCATCGATCTATAATTCTCGAGCCTCTTTCCCTTGTGAGAAGTTACACGAAACTTGCCACCCCAAAACACCCAAACGAATCATGTTCGTGAGGAAGCTTGAGTTGAAATCAAATCAATTCAAAGCTGTGCTACTTTGATCATACGAGACCCTACCTAGGGCTCACCAAGTGGTATCACGAGCCCGGTTCAAACCTAGGGCAAGAAAGACGACGACAAAAATAGAAAACGTCGCCGGAATTACACACTGGACAAGATCGAAAGGCCCTATTTCTAGTGACCCTGCGCTGCTAACTCTAGAAAAAAGGAAGAAGAAGAAGCAGACAACCATGGGAGACAAGAAACCTCAACAACCTGTTACGATGAAAGATTACAACGGTATTTCCATACTCAATTCGAGCAGGTTAATCGGCAACTGGCCGAGCTTCGTTTGCAAATCCCTAACCTTGTTCCCCCGGATAATATGGCAGAGCATGAAGGAATCGCCAGGCTGGCGAACTAATCCGCAACGACACCAATCAAGAATTATTGGCACGAATTCAGGACATTGAACAAAGGATGGTGGTTGTGGATCCCAATCCTGGACAACCAATTCGCGATCTTCTTGATTACAGGGAACGGAGGCCAGAGGCAGAGCCTACCATTCCTCCGGGCATCCAATTAACCATTCCTCCCTTCGATGGATCTCTCAATGCT